ATGTGGGTGTGTGAGCGTGAAGGTATGAAGGTGTATATGGGTGTGTATATATGCGTGTTTAAGTGAGTGGGTGTGCGTGTGTGTGTGTGTGTGTGTGCGTGCGCTAGTCTGTGCATGCATTTTACCACCTATGCTTTTGTGCTTGTTCTTTTCTATTCTTGATATTCATAATATGCATATTATCATATGAATATAACATGCTTATTGATAAAAATACAGCTGCAGTTTGAAAGACGGCTGTTTGGAAGGGCCGAATGTAAGACTAAAGATCAAATGGACAGATGGGTTGAATATTTTGAAATGCTTCTAAATAGACCAGGCCCAGAGGTTTCCCCAGATATCCAGCCTTTAGAAATGGAACTGGATATCAACTGTGAGATACCATCCAAAGAGGAAATTAGAAAATCTATCAATCTTTTCAAGGAAGGAAAGGCGACAGGCCCAGATGGTATCCCAGCTGAAGCCATCAGGGCCAACATAAACACATCAACAGAATTGCTACATAGATTTTTCAGTAAAGTCTGGGAGACCGAAGAAATACCAGCAGACTGGAGAGAAGGATATCTTGTGAAACTGCCCAAAAAGGTGATCTACAGGAGTGGGAAAACTATAGAGGAATTATGTTGCTGTCAGTTCCTGGAAAAATATTAAGTAGAATTATTTTGGAAAGATTAAAAGATGCTATTGATAAAATGCTAAGAGATGAACAGGCAGGTTTTCGGTCAATCAGATCCTGTACTGACCAGATAGCCACATTACGTATTATAATAGAGAAAAGCATTGAACTGAACTCACCACTTTACATTGGATTTATAGACTATGAAAAAGGCATTTGACAGCATTGATAGGGAATCTCTCTGGAAATTGATGGGGCACTATGGAATCCCACAGAAAATTATCAACTTAGTAAAGTCAACATATAAAGACATGAAATGTCGAATTCTTCATGAGAGAAAGCTAACAGATGCATTTGAAATAAAAACTGGTGTGCGACAGGGATGTCTTTTGTCGCCTCTCTTATTTTTACTGGCTATAGACTGGACTATGAAAACAATAACTGCTAACACCAAGAATGGAATTCAGTGGACCCCTACAAAACAGCTTGATGATCAGGACTTCGCTGATGATATTGCTCTTCTGTCCCATTCACGGAATCAGATACAAGATAAATTAAATATACTTGATGCGAGATCACAGCAGCTTGGTCTGAAAATCCATAAAGGAGAGACAAAGATAATGAGAATAAATCAGGCAAATAGTAATGTGGTTTCTCTTAATGGCACCCCACTCCAAGACGTGGAGTCGTACACCTATTTGGGCAGTAATGTAGATAAAGATGGAGGAACTGATAGAGATATTAAAATAAGAATACAAAATGCAAGAGGGGCTTTCATAGCCCTAGGGAATTTGTGGAGGTCAAAAGAAATTAAAAGAAATACTAAACTAAAATTTTTTAATCCTAATGTCAAATCAGTACTATTGTATGGGGCGGAAACATGGAGAACAACCAAGGCAATTACTAATAAATTACAGACATTCATTAACTGGTGCCTGCGCAGAAAAGAGGGAATTAAATGATATGATAGAATAACTAATGTAGAACTTTGGGAGAGAACTAAACAGGCTCCAGTGGACCAAGAGGTGAGGAAAAGACGCTGGCGTTGGATAGGACACACACTGAGAAAACAGGAGAACAGCATAAATAGAATGTCTTTGCATTGGAACCCACAGCGGCATAGGAATAAAGAAAAGCCAAAAAAAAAAACAACAAAAAAACATACGGGGATGAGAGCTGGAGAATGAAGTTAGAAAGATGAAGAGGACATGAGGAGAGCTCCATGCAATGGCGAAGGATAGAACGACTTGGCGTGAGTTGGTTGAGGGCCTATGCTCCATTGGGGGATAGAAAGGCAAAAGAAGAAAGAAGAATTTAGGACGGGCCCTGCGTGTCCAATTTGTGACCCTTTGAAAATAAAGTTCGTTCGTTCGTTCGTTCGTTCGCTCTCTCTCTCTCTCTCTCTCTCTCTCTCTCTCTCTCTCTCTCTCTCTCTCTCTCTCTCTCTCTCTCTCTCTCTCTCTCTCTCTCTCTCTCTCTCTCTCTCTCTCTTTCTGTAAGAGTATTAACAATGTCTGCACCATTCTCATGCCGCTCATCTGCAACAATAGCAGAGTCAGCCAGTCTCTCACATCTTTCATTTCCAATAACACCCATAGGATCCAGGGCATAGATGAAGGTAATCACAGTCACCGTGCGTATTCGTTGTGATGACTGACTGACTTTCTACCCCACTAGGACATCACACAAGCGATAAACACCCGATGACACAAAGTGCCACCATGCGGATGAGGATCACCGTGGAGAGGTCCCAGAAACCGCGTTCAGACAATTGGCCATATTGATGGCCTGCCTATATTGCGGCCCCTGGCAAAAGCCAGATTGGGGCTTCAAATAACAAAAAATTACGTCATAAAAAGGACGTAAGTAGTATATTCGTTGTGATTTAGTCCGCTGCCTTTTATACGGAGCTCGCCTCGACTCACCGGATCATGCTCATGGAATCACTCAGTACAAACTTGTGGGAATATTGGTTGGCAGGTTGTATTGTAGTTTTCAGCTAGAGTAAGATATCTGCGCGTTTCGGCACAAAAATCCCAATTAGTAGCCTTTATGGCATGCTTGTTAGGGCGCTGACTTCCCCCTCCAATTAACCCTCCAGAACTCACCCAGGGAGACATATTTTCTAATACCACAATTAGACGAACATAATGAAGAAACCAATACAGCTCAAGCAGATGAAACGCTAGAGACACAAACACATGTCTTATTGCGACATCTGCCTGTGCCATCCAAGAACCAACTCTTTTCAGCCGTTATCCCTTGCAATACTCTAGGACCCTATGCAGAAAGTGTTGTTCTTTGTCCGTTGAAACTCTAATGTACATTTTTGCTTGTCTAGAGAGACACATTAGACATGTGTGTGTGTGTGCGCGCGCGTGTGTGCGTTTTATTGACAGGAACTAATCTACTATCTTTAGACTACCTGATTTACCCACTGACTCCGATCTTTATTATTCAAGTTATATCTTCTTTTAATATCTTCAACTGGTAGTTTTATCACCCCCCCCCCCCCCCCAAAAAAAAAAAAAAAAAAAAAAAACTAGCAAGAACGTTGTGGCGATAAACCTTCATCAACAAACAACGTCGTGAATGGCAGACGTGGGGCAAGGAACAAAACAAACAGAGATAGGAATTGTGTAGAGAAAGTATGTAGGAAGGATATTAACATTTGCCGATGACGTTCTTGCATTTAACCGGGGGGGGGGGGGGGTGATAGGCAACGGACAGCCCAAGAAGGCACTGCCTGCTTTTGCTGATTGGCTCAAAGATCTGTCGATGTTTCTATTTCACATGTAAGCTAACTGAGCTACACCAGAGGCATAGGCCTATATTTATTATTTTACTGCCGCACCCGTATGGGCCAGAAAGAGTTAACAGTGCCAGAACAATCGGCTCCACGTATAAGGTATGTTTATCTTTGTTGTGGTTTTTTTTTTTCGACCAATGCTTGGTTAATATAAATTTCTGTAATTTGTGGTGCCATTTCAATGGTTTGAGATGCATTCTGTCCATACTCCATAGTTGTGGCAGACCACCGAACTAGACCATAGGTCTCGTATGTGAAGGGGTCGTTTACTTTAAAAAATAACATTTTTGTTTTATTTGCACGATTAAGGATTTCCGTGAAAATAGAACAAGGGTCAGGGTTGCCATATTGGCATTTTTTATGCCAGATTCCACAAATCTGGCATATTTGAAATTCAACTGGCATAAGATAATAAACTGGCATATTTTGGCATATTTGGGTTTTTCCTGGCGATATAGACCTAAAGTTAATATAATTATTTCAGTTTGATTTTGTTGTAATGTCCTGGTAGGACTAATGGAGATTCGCGCCATTTCTTATTGTATTTGTTGTCTTCCTAAATGGATCGTGACTTCGATAAACCAAGGTCCTCTGTAATTTATGTTAATCTACTAGAATAAATGTGGAATATAAAACCAAAACCCACCACTGATATCAAGTGATTCAGACTGTTCAGAAACTACTTGATGACAGACAATAGAGAGGATATAGACCTAGTTCTATCTGTAATATATTTTATTACTTTTACCAATGGCCACGTCATGCAAAAAATGAAAAGCATCTTATGACATTGCTAGTATAATAGTAACTGGAATAAAAACATACTCACGGCTCAGAAGATATTCAGACGAATCAGAGGCAGCATATTGTAAACTGTGGCAGTGCACTTATGCACCAAGAATTAGCAGCATATCAAATCATGAAAAATCCGAAAAACACAGGATGAGAACTCCGTCAGAAAGCCAGTCACAGCTTATAACAACAGTAACTCCTAGGCAAAGTAATGATAAAGTTAAAGGCAGCAGAGTTGCAACTTGCTGTATGCATGACCTGCCATTGTGCAATACGCACAATTGATCGTCTAAGTGAAATCATGAGAGCGCATGGTCGGGGGAGTACACAGGAGCACATACAGTTGCATAGAACTAAATGTTCATGCCTAATTAAAAAAAAAAAACCCACATTATATCGCCTGCACTTAAAGATGACCTTATTGTTGATTTTCGGAACAAGAAAGATGCCATCATTTTAGATGAGTTGCAAAGACTTAATTCCATCTGAGAAAATGCTTACATTCAAAAAGGTTTACGCTCTATCTTCCACTGGTTCCAGTGAGGATGACAGTGAAGAATTCAATCTAGTGCTTTTGATGTAAAGTGGGTACAATGTTTCATTTTATTTGGCATTTTCTGGCATATTTTGGGTAATGGTTTGGCATAAAATGAAGTTTTTTTTTAATCTGGCAACCCTGACAAAGGTGAGCAAATCTATTTTCACCACGAGAAGAAGTGAAAGTCAAAACTTTCTGGGCCTTACTTCCAGGTGTTCCAATCCAGCGACAGAGTCAGTGACACCATGACCCGTGGTTACGATCTGGCAGATGAGACGCAAGTCAGAGAGTTTTTGAGAGACGTTGAAACAGAATACCAGTTTCAGTGTCTTCATGAAAAGCAAGCAGACGGTACGAGATTGGCTTCGTTCAAATACTGTACTAGTAGTAGTACTGTTACTGTTAGTGTTTGATTGTCGGCGTCTGCTGTGTAGTAGTTATGCCAACGCGCTTCGTGGTTCCGGGTTCGATCCCAGCTGTGGACGATATGTCTTGCGTTGTTGTCGACAGTGGTACTAAGAGCTGACTGTTCAATACTATAGAAGTGGCAGACTACTAAACTAAACGTAACATTTGCCTAGAAAGACCACAATTTAAAAAAAAAGAAAAATGCCGCTTTTCATGTGATAATGGATATCGGTTGTAGAAACCCAGTTCATTTGTATAAAACCGTCTTCTTGTTGTTATTTGACAGGAGAGCCGAAAGTTCTGATCGTTTGTCTACTTCTGGACTTCAGTTTTGTTTCAGAACTTGAGTTTTATGTGGACATCTGTTTCACAGATCTGGTTTATTTGTATGTAGACTGATAAAATGATTATATTGGCATTGGGGTATCATATGTTTGCCGAGTAACGTGATGTCCACTGTGGGTTTGACTATAAATGAGACTGATAAGGGACAGAAATGAAAGAATCTTAATGATATCCTGATGTACTCTACAGTTGTCTCTTGGGATTACAGATATTTACGGTAGTGTATGAAGCACACAAACAAGCCCTCTTCCACTGTTCACACTCCACCTGGACACAAGGTACATGAGGACCTAGATGAGATGATGATAATGATGTTATGTTATATTTTATTTGCATTTGCAGGATGCCATCGTCTTGCAGAATTCAGAGAGACCATTAAACAAGATGTTGCTTCAGCGGGACCCTTATACAAAGAGAACTGTGATAAGAACAACTACTCTAAAAGCTGTTTCAGCTATGGTCAGTGTTTGCTGACTGGAAAAGGTATGTCTTCGTTCATACTGTACTCTCTTACATAAATCTTTGAGACACATTTTTGGAGAAAATAAGGACAAAATTAATGCTGTACAAGAGACAACACAGGCTAAAGATCTCAGACATGAAGATAACTGATTTTCTCTAATTTAGATGCAAAGTTTTATGTATATCATTTAGAGCAGCCCAATGTAAACCATACAAGAGTTGCCCATGGTTGCATCAATGTAAACACACTAAGAGACATATTTGGCAGATTAGAACACTTAGGGGTATGCCCGATGTGTAGTGAAGATGATCTTGAAATGAATAGTGAAAGGTATCAAAAACTCTCCAGTAGAAATCTATATCTGTGTTTCACTCATTTGCTAATTGCACTGGGATGTATGTCTCTTTAAAACCTTCATTAACTAATAACCACTCTTTGGCATACTACTGTATTATTTTTTTTAAAATAATTTAAATCTGTATGAATGAAGAACTGACATATCATCATCATCATCATCAGTTCTCGTTATGCCTAGTGGCACATGAGGCTTCAGAGAGGACTTTCCATGCTTTCCTGTCCTGTGCAATCTTCAATGCAGTTTTCCATGTCAAAGATGCCGCACTCAGGTCACTTTCCATCGTTCGTCTCCATGTTGTTTTTGGGCGCCCTGTTTTCTCTTTCCCTCTGGTGTCCATGTGAGAGCTGTTTTGGCAGGTATATCAGAAGTCATTCTCCTAACGTGGCCAAGCCATTTCCATCTTCTCTTGGTAATCATACTGTCTAAAGTTTCTTGGTTTGTGGTTTGAAGTAGTTTAGTGTTTGAGATTGTATCTGGCCAGAAAATTTTGATAATTCTACGTAGACATGTGTGGTGGAAGGTGGACAGCCTGTGTGCATCCTTTTTGGTCATTCTCCAGCATTCCGCTCCTTAGAGAAGAACTGGCAAAATGATGCTCTTGTAGAGTCGGAGTTTCGTTCCTCTGCAGTAATTGTTGGATTTCCAGATTTGCCTCATCCTTCCAAAAGCAGCTCTAGCTTTGTTCAGACGTGACTGTATGTCTTCCTCTGCCCCTCCCAGTAGGGACACCACACTGCCAAGATACGTGAAATGTTCTACATTTTCAAGTGATTGGTTACTTATGGTCACTGGTTGTTGGTTTGGACTGTTTGTCATGATCTTAGTTTTCTTTGAATTTATTCTCAGTCCCACCATTTCTGCTGTGCAGTTTAGTCTGTTACTTTTCTCTTGTAAATGTTCATGTTTATGTGATAGGAGTGCTATATCATCTGCAAAATCAATGTCTTCAAGTCTGGTGAATGGAGTCCATTGTATGCCTCTTAATGTCCTGTCTACTGTGTTCTTTAGTATCCAATCAATCACAAGGTTGAAGATGAGAGATGACATAACACATCCCTGTCTTACACCCGTCTTTACTGGGAAAGATGTATTGTAACTTTGTATACTGCAGGAAAAGTCTTTATAGAAGAGAGTAATTATGTTGACTATTTTTTCTGGAATTCCATAATGTCGTAAAATTTTCCATAGACCGTCTCTATGGACGCTGTCAAAAGCTTTCTCAAAGTCCACAAAATTAATATATATACTTCTCTGCCATTCGTTGCATTGTTCTAAAATGTTCCGTATGGCGAAGATGTGTTCAGTTGTTCCTCTGCCCTTTCTGAATCCTGCTTGTTCCACTCATAGGCATTTATCTACTCCTTTTTCAAGCCGCATTATGATGATTTTACAAAATATTTTGCTTGGTACTGAGAGTAGAGTAATTCCCCTCAAATTATTGCAGTCTGTTAAGTCTCCTTTTTTGGGGGGTTTTGACTATTGTTCCTTCAGTCCAGTCATCAGGCAACACTTCTTTTTCCCAAATATCCTTGAACAATGGTTCTAGAATGCTAGCAGTTGTGTTGGGATCTACTTTGAGAAGTTCTGCTGGCAGTTCGTCTTTGCCGGGTGCTTTGTTGTTCTTTAAAGTGTGGATAGCTTTAAGGATTTCTTGTTTGCTCTGTGGTTCAGTAATAATGTCAATGTCCTGAGAGGCTGGCTGAATATCTGGGGTATTTTCAGGATCAGGTCTATTCAAGAGGTCGGAGAAGTGTTTAGTCCACTGCATGTCTTGTTTTTGTTCTGTGGTGAGCAGTCTGCCTTGGTTATCTCTGATGGGTATGCTGTGATAGTTGTTTCTGTTTCTGCAAATTTGCTGGGTAATTTTGTGTAGGGTTTGTAGATCATGTGCTTTAGCAGCATTTTCTGCTGTTTCTGCAAGATTTTCCATAAATCTTCTCTTGTCAGCTCTAATACACTTTTCTTGGTCATTTTATTTAGTTCTTAAAACATTCCCATACATGATGCGTCCCCTTCCTCATTAGCCAGTGAAGACTTCCCATACTGTTGGTGCCAGTTGCAACTTTATTAAAAGTCCCCACCCCCAACCCACCTCATGGTAGGTAGAAAATTGTGTGCGGGTAGATTTAAAAATTAATCTAAAAATAAATTCAGCCTAAAAAGTCAAAAGAATAATCCAGAAAGTAAAATGAAGGTGGCTAATGTGATCACTCTGAAAATCTGATTTTAAGAATATCTTGGGAAGAGAAGTAAACACTGACCAGAATGTTTAGCTTTGGGGTTATTTTTGCTCCTGACAGCACTTTGCTAAAGCAGTTTCCACATGTAGACTGAAGACTAGGATTTCATGCATAAGCTACTTAGTTAAGTGCTCGGTGCAGCACTGTGAGCTGTGTTTTGTTTTTTGTGTCGAATGCTTTTCATTTATGCAGCGATTATGTTGTGGTATTCAGTATGGGCTTTACTTATGGGCTGGCAAAATACCTTATTGTCCTTGTGAATGGCCAACTTATCGTGATTAACTACTTCCATCAGCGACAGACTGCATGTTTGTGTATGTTCCTACCTCAGTCATGTTGTGCCATTTACATATCACAGCAGGCTGAATGTCTGTTCCTTAATTGTGTACACAGATGCATGCAGGAAAGTAATAGCATGAGATGCAGTTGATGGCAGGGGCAGATACATATTCAAAGTTCAAACAGCTTGGCAATAAGTAGTAATATCAGGTTAGTTGCGTATCCTTTACAGGATGTTGCAGAACCAACCCCAACAGCCCCTGGCTGTTGGGTGGTTTTTCTAGGCAAATTTACATCCAGTAGTTTGCCATTGCTTTCTGTACGGTCAGCTTTTTTGATACCACTGTCGAAACCAATGCAAGGCGCATGGCCCGCAGCTGGGATCGAACCCGGCATCCCGACATTGCGAAGCGTTTGCATCGACTGAGCCACAGAGTCGACAAGTAGTAATATAAGCAACCTAAATTTAATAAAAGTATCAGATGAAAGAAGAGCTATGATCTCCAGTGTCTGCTCCTATACCAGGCATCTAAAGGAGAAAGCATGCATCTTATGGGCTAAGGCCTATTTTATTTCTTATATGCCACATGGAGCAAATAATTGACTAGCTCCCAGGATGACCTAGTCTAAAATTGGTCATGCCACTGCCATTACTGCCAGTATTTACAACTTTTGCATTGGGGGAGGGGGGGGGGGGGAGGGAGTTGTTGGTCTTGGAGCCTGAAGATTCAGGGCATTGCTAGTGCAAGTGCCACGGACTGTGCAAGTTAGGATTTTTTTTTTTGCCCTTGATGAAGAAATTTGACAACCTTATGGAGGAATCAAATCTTGGTTCTCCTCCATGAGAGCCCTGTCTTTTAAACCATTGGGCCATCCATTCCTCTCTCAAATAGGTACCAGGTAATATCCTGGGGGCAAAGGCGACCAGTTGATGCTGACCACATCACCCATTGAATACAGGTTAATCTTTAAAAATATGGATCTAGCATCATACTGCAGATTGCCAGTGGCATAAAGAGGGTTCTTGAATTTATGTTCGTGGAAATATTTGTTACATGAATGGTCATAGCTGCCAAAGCTTTACCTGTGAATCTCATTTATTGCAGGTGTGCCAGAGAAAAAACCAGATCTGACCTCAGCGTTAAAATATTATGAGAAAAGCTGTGACATGGACAGCTCTAAGGGATGCTTTGTTTCTGCTCTTTTACGATTATCCTCTGATGTGGGTGCAGAAAAAAATACTGAGAAAGCCATTGTTCATTTATCTAAAGCTTGCAGCCTCAAAGATGGGGAAGCATGTTTTAAACTAAGTTCACTATATCTCACAGGAAACCTTGTTGCCAAGGATTTGAACCAAGCCTACCAGTTGGCTAAAGCAGGCTGTGAATTAGACCACTTTATGGCTTGTAATAATTTGAGTTTGATGTACCGTCATGGTCACGGAACTGAGAAAAATCTGGTCATGGCCAGCAAGGCCAAGGAGAAAGCAATGAATTTATCTGCAGAGGAAGCAATGAAGAGACCAAGTGTAATCATGAATCGCTGACTGTTAGTTCTGATATATGTTTGTTTATTAATGAGTGAGAAATATTGTGAGTACAGCAAGTTGGGAAGAGAATAATAAACTACAAATGATTCAGCGAATGCCAACAAGGCAAGGTAGAAAACACTGCATTTATCAGCAGAGGTAGCAGTGAAGACACCAAATGAAATCATGAATCAGTGATTGTTAGTTGCTATATACAGCTTACTGCAGCAGTTTGGAAGAGAACAATAGTAACCAGACAAATAATTCTTACAGATTGAGTCAGAAATATGGCTACACATTGCAGAGTGAATAATGAGGATTATCTTCACAGCACTCCGGACAGATCCATAGGTGCTCCAATCCCCTCCTTAAGGTTAATGAAACCTCTTGTTCCCTTATTGAATAGTTTATTACTTGCAGCTCCAGGCTGCACCCCATGTCCATCAGCCTAGATAGGGATACAGAGTCAATGCCCCTAGGCATGCTCATCGTAACGGCAGGTGATGCACATGGCATTGATAACATCGCTTCTGTCAGGTACTGGACCAGCCAAAAGCAACCACATTGTCTGCAAGTTAATCTGCACACTTGTTTCCTTGCAGAGTGCAAGCATCAATCAGAGAAAGTGTTTTGAGGCAGTTCAGTGACTCATGCATTTTTGGTTTGGAGAATTGCCTTTCCAATGGTTTCATTTCCATAATTCTGCCATATGCAGTTAAACATGCAGCCATATTTCTGACTCCCCATGTAGATGGCTCATGATGGTGTGGTGATGTCGTTGGTAGAGTTGATAAAAGGCGGTGTAGTGTTGTGTGGTTGGTGAGTTGATGAAAGTGGAAGATAGCTGATGTAGTTGATGGTGTATTGTAGTTGAAGGAGAGTTGATCGTATTTGGTGGTGTGGTGATGTCCTTGGTAGAGTTGATAAAAGGCGGTGTAGTGTTGTGTGGTTGGTGAGTTGATGAAAGTGGAAGATAGCTGATGTAGTTGATGGTGTATTGTAGTTGAAGGAGAGTTGATCGTATTTGGTGGTGTGGTGATGTCCTTGGTAGAGTTGATAAAAGGCGGTGTAGTGTTGTTTCGTTGGTGAAGAGATTTGATAAAAGTAGAAGATAGGTGATGTAGTTTATGGTGTATTGTTGTATTTAAAGGAGAGTTGATCTTATCTGGTGGTGTGGTGTTATAGTTGGAAGAGAAATGATAAATAATAGATAGAGTGGTGATGTAGTTAAAATGAATGAATCAAGAGTTGACATTGGCATCACCACACTGGGAACATTCCCACACATGCACCGCCCCCTTTTTTGGTAGCTAATGAGTCATCGACATACTAACAGTACCAGTTATAACCTGAATAAAAGTCCGCCTCTGTTACCCTCAGTGTTAAATATCTTCTAGAACCTCTACTCCCCCTTTTACCTGTTGAATTGGTCTCTCAGTGTATGGATTCTCTGTTCTCTATTGCACTGTCCATTTCATCCCAGAGGGCATTTATCATGTCCGCTTTATTATAAAGTAACTCATCGCCCAGAGGAGAAGCAGCAGCTAATCTATCAGCCTGCTCATTACCTCGTACACCTGAAGTTCCCAGACAGAAAATCCATGATATTCTCCTGATGTGAGTCTCCTCAAGTGATACAAGCCCCTTTGCCTGCAGGAAACCAGTTCACATTTGTCCACAGCTTGCTCTGTGAAGTACATTACAATAATAGCTTGTCAGACTGTATGTAGTTGGAAGAAAGGTCAGGTTTATAGGTGAAACAATTTTGATTTTCTTTCACTGTGTTTTAGGAACATGTTTCCTATGTATTTTATGAGTAGTAAACCACTGCCAGTATAAGGCTTTAATTTCTTTTTATTGCTGTTCAAATGTGTTTTATGTTGTTGAATATGTTTTATAGTTTAGTGAATGAACAAACTTTATTTTCAAAGTCACAAATTAGGTACGCAGGCCCGTCTTAGATTTGGCCCTTCCAAACACCCATCTTTCACACAGCAGTTGTATTTTATCAATAAAGCATGTTATGTTCATATTAAGAAATATCAAGTCAAAAATAAAAGCCTGGATGGTAAAAGCATTAGTAGCAGATGATTTTTCTCCTGTTGTTGAAAAAGAGCGGGAGAAGCCGCTAGCTGCTCATGTGCAGCACATGCGTTCGACCCCCTTGTAATTTGATGAAGTTCTTCTGTCAGGGGCAGAATTAAACATCATAACCTGTACAGTCCATGGCGACAGCACTAACCATTATGCCCTAAATCCCCAGGCTCACAACCCTTCTTTCTGCACCGCTCTAAAAAGTTCTAAATACAGACAGTAGTTAAAAGTTCTGTTAAAAGTGTTTTTATGCTAGGTATTTTCTATCGTTGACAAGTGGTTCTACATTATGAGTCTTTCATAAACAGAGATCATTGACAACATTAAAGACATTTTACATCCACACATCATGCTTGCACTGAGCATTGAACTGCAAAACATGTTTCTTTAACATAGCAGTTCTATGGGTCACAACCCTTTTTTTTGGGGTCAAATAACCCTTTCACAGGAGTCGCCTAAGACCATCGGAAAACATATTTACTGAAGTTATGAATTAGCATAGAAATTAATTGGATGGTTGGGGGTCGCCACAAAATGAGGAACTATATTAAAGGGTCGCCATATTAGGAAGGTTGAGAGCCACTGGTCTAAAACTTGCAAACATTGATAATGATTAAGAGCCATTAGGACGTGAGATAGCCCAATCACTTTTTTGTAGAGTGATGTTTTTCTGGTTGTGGCAAGGTCAATTAAAATCCAAATGTCTCAATTGTATCAGATGTAGGACACAGGAGCATCCACTATGAACACAGACTGACTTTAACACCATCTTTGGTTAAAAAACAAAAACATGACTGACATGACCACCATCTTTGGTTAAAAACAATAATCTGACTGCACTATTTTTCATTGGCATCATTATCATCATCATCTTGTGCCATTATCTGTCACACAGGGCTTACAGTTGATTCCTCCATTCCATTCTAGCCTGTGCAGTCGTTTCAGTGTCATGGATGGGATCCAGTCCAACAGCTTTGGCCTCTCCCACTTACTTTTTAGAATTTCTTTTGGGTGTCCTTGTTTCCTCAATCCAAATGTTTTCTATTTAAGTACCTGTTTAGTGTTTCTCTGCTTCTACTCAGTAATGCTGAGTATGTCTGACCCCTGACCTCTGCAGAGCAGCATTCAATGAGTTTCTGTAGCAAAATTTGGTTTTCTTTTCACAAGATTGGGGAGTTGGCCCCATGCTCAGCTCTCCTCTTTCTCAGTGGGGTTTACTGACTGCTTATTTTATTAGTGAGATCTGGGAGATCTGGGTTGGTAAGACTGGGGACTTTTTTCTGTCTGGATTAAAAAATAAAATCCCAACCTGCACAGTTGTGGTGACAGCACTAGCCAGGGGTAAACACCCCTTTTCCCCCTTCTCCAGTGACACTACAGGAAGTGATGGCTGGTTTAACAGTTGAGTACTTTATGTTTACTCCAGTACTTATTTTCCCACTAAACTTGACTTAGCAAAGTCTCCACTGCAAGGTTGTCAGTCTGTTCATCATGCTCTGAATCAAGGCCGTGGGTTTAAGTTTAGACGTAATTCTTTGGTTAGCAAGTGCAGGTGTTTCAGAGGTCCTGGAATCAGTGCTAGCTCTGAGTTTGTGCAACACTCTAGTAGATAACCTGATGCTCTGTGCACATTGAGACACATGATAACACCCACCATAATGAAGTCAGTCCCCTCTTACTGTTAAATGACCGAATTTACTACTGTCTCTGTGTATTAACTCTCAGCAAACTTTGTTTTTGTGTGTTCTATCTGCTTTCGTTTTTTTCCCACTAAACTTGCTTTTTTCTCTGCATATTCTTCCTACTACTCATGATCTCACCCAACTTTACTTTCTCCCTTGTATTCGCCACACTACTAATTATCTCACTTAACTTCTTTTTCTGTATATTCACTCCACTACTTAATAACTCACTAAACTTTGTAAGTATTCACAAACTTAACATCTCATTAAACTTAACTTTCTCTGAGTATTCTGCTGTTGGCACATTTTTTGTCTTTCCAGACGATAGTGTTATATTGTTCTGTGAGGAAGCATGGGACTCGCAGCCCAAGCCGATGGCGAGTAGGGCTAGCAAAATGTGCCTACATTAAGAGGTCTTCTACAATCAAAGCATGGGATTTCAGGACGGTTGTTGCTGTCATATGATATCACAATGCCTTGTGTTTAGGAATTGAGGTGGAGGCAGTCACTGCTGCTCCCTTCTGCTGGCTTGAGAATCAGCTAAACACACATATTATTGTAACTGAGTCACAGAGCATGCTGAGAAAGGTCAAGACATGCATGCCCCGTACAGAGAGACAAGATAGCTTCAGAGATCCTGGCTAGTTAGCATCCTCTGGATATTTTTTCCAGGTCATGCCAGTGTGTTGGGAAATGATTAGACAATTAGACTGGCCAGCTCTGCACCACTTGATGGTGAATTAATGTATGACAGACTAGATGTTGTCAGGGCCCTTTAGGAGTGAGCAAATTACAGCTGAGGAGAGTGGAGCTGCAAAGAGTTACCCGGGGATCTGCATTTTTCAATCAGTCACTGATACCATTGGAATTGGAACTCTTCTCTTGCTGCTAAAGATGGAGACAGAGCACGGAGTGTCCCGAGAGCTGTGAAATCAATTCCTAATTCAACATTTAGATGCTCAGCTGTCATCCTTTCTGCAGTCATTTCTTCATTCATTCTCATTCCCTTCCTGATGTGATTTCTTTAAAGCAACAAGGTCTCTGAGGATTCACTCCACTACTTATTGTCTTGGCAGCTGTCATGGTGTAGTGGCTAGACACTTGCCTGTGGATCTGAAAGTTGTGGGTCCAGATCCGAAAGAAGCTTGACATTTTATCAAAATTACCCATCTCCCAGGTCTAAAATGGTACCAGGTAAAGTCCAGGGAAGTAAAGGCAGCCAGCATGAGGTTGACCGTATCA